CGGAGCAGGTGGTAATGAGGATGTTATGATTCATAAGCTTCCTTCTTTGGCTCCTCTCCTCTCCAGCTCCAGCCCCAGCCCCTTCTCATCCACTCTTTGTATAGTAAGAAATTCACCTTACCTCTCCCCAGGGAACCACACCAGCTCCCGCACCCCTGCTACCTTCCCAGGCCTCCCTCCCTCCTTATGCAGGCTGGCCCTCTTCTGCAGTGGGTACCATGCGCCAGACAAATGGGGAAGTCCCCTGGAAGCTTTTTGGTGCCACCTTTATATAAATAGGAACTAATAACTGACTAGCTCACAGAAATACTAAAATATCAAAGAGAGCAAATCCTTATTTATTTATATATTTTTTTGCAAATCCTTATTTCTAATAAGTTACCCTGCTAGCTCAACCATTGACAATAACGTCTGATGATCTAGAATCCAAACATCGAGAAAGCCCAAGCATCGCGTCTTTTCTGCCTTTATTGTATGAAGGAGCATTGCTCAGCGTCCACTGTTACCATTCTGAGCAGCTGTGGGGAAGACTGGCGTGTCCCTTCGAAATCATGATGGGGAGTGGACCTGAGACTGCTTGTTCAGATGTCCGTATGGTTCCTTCCTCACCTCTGAGATCGCTGTTGGAGGGTCACCGTCTGAAGGCCTCCAGTGACCGTCCTGAAAATGCCTTTCTGCTCTCCCTTCCCCCATCCTTGCCATTTCTCAGCTTCATATTCTGGGCCTCTTTGTCGTCCCGGCCCCCATCCCTGGGCGGTGCAAATGATGAACACGTTTGACTGCTACGTGAAAGGTGGGAGCTCACCCAGAGGGGCTTTGGAAGTAAAGCTCGGAGTTCTACTTCCTAAAAAATCCGCAATGCACAAACAGCCTTGTGCATACCACAAGAGCAGGCCGATGAAACAACTGGCATGCCCATCAGTAGAAGAATGGATAAAATAACTTCAGTACATACACACAGTGGAACACAATGCATTGCTAAAAAAAAAAAAACCAATGTTGAAACTACAAAGCACCTCATGGCATGGATCGACCCGGAGAACATTATGCTGAGCGAAATGAATCAATCACTGTGGTAGTTACATAATCTGTCAACTTGCGAAGGGGTGGAGTCTAGCCTGTCAATCAGGTCGCAGCTTGATGACCTCATTTTGGAGATAAACGATAGAGGTAAACAGCTCACTGGCGGGCAGACACACACACACTCTCTGCTTTGGCTTCCTGTTGACAAGACACATGGAGCTATGCTGATGAGCCAGAGCCCTGGAGCTGGAGGAGCCACATGGAGACCCTGCCAGCACTGATGCTTCCACTGCCACCGGATCCACAAGACTTTCCACCCACTGGC